CTTAAAGCATAGCAATATTCCTCCCACAGACTCACACTGAAGAGTGTCATAACAGCGGGTAATGAAAGCCTTTTTCCTGCCAAAAGCAAATTCCTTCCATCCCTTCAAATCATGCCTCACGCTGGCCTGTGACCAGCCCTTGGGTGGCCTTATTAAAGAAGTTGCACCAGATAATGATTATGAATTATGCCACAGCGCTACAAGAATAGCTCGGCCAAAGTGTGCTTTTGGAAAATAACATGTACTTAGCAATGCAAAGTGTGCTGGTAAGCATGTAACATGCTGAAGTTACAAATATCAGACAGCCCTGAAACACAAAGATGAGAGAAAGTTAATCCTCAGCTCTTTGGATAATTAATTAACTTGTAGTACGAGCGGCTCTGCCTCTCTTACGTTCTCTGTCTCGAGAGCTGATAGGACAAAACAAGCAGTACTGAGATATCATCTGGGAAATGTTATGTTTGTTTTTGATCACAAAATAATAAATGAGCAGCGAACAAAAACACTAGCATAGGTGCACCCGGACATTTCACTTCTGTTCTTTGTGTCCATTTTTTAGGTATTTTTGCTTTTACCACCCGTCTCACTCATAACACTGATCATCACGCTGCACTCTCCAACTTTTTCACTACATTTACAAACTGGTCAGAGCATCTTTATTTTTTCAGAAATTGTGATCTTGCCCTGTGATGAAACGATCTCGTGAAATTATAAAGGAAATGTTGTATTTGTAGTTTTGTGGCCTGTGTTTTTCCCATCCCATAGTGGGTTTTTTCCCAGTATAGTATCAGGATACCCGGTGAGTAAGAACTATAAATTCAGCAGCAGCTCTATCTAAAAATGTGTGGACGTGAACCTGTGGAAGGATTATTAACAGATGAAGACGACCTTAGAGTGTGTCTTCGCCCTCTCAGCAGGCACACGTGCAGCTGCTGCCATCATTTTTTATTCATTCAATAAATGCATGTAAATAACCCAGATTACAGCTAACCAAGACTGTGATGACTGCCTGTAAACATCGAACACACAACTGACAACAATACTGTCATTTTAAATATCATTAGGCCACCAGCACTCAACAACACACACACACACACACACTGACATCACCAGGCTTCTGATTGGCCCACATGTCTGTATAGTTAGGCTTATATAACCACCTCTTGCTTTGACACCTCTTAACACCAATTTTTTTGCATTTTTTAAAGGAGTTGAAAGGTTGTGGTTTCCTAAGCATTAAGCCTAAAGTTCAGGACCGTCAACAGCCAGCAGCCCCACCTGACCACAGAGTTCTGCACCACAGCAGCTGTAACACGAACACCAAGCAACGCTCAACTGCTGTGTGCTCCCTGTTCATTTTTATTGAGCTGTAGCAGCTTGGAAAGTAGTTAGTGAACTTCAGCTCCTATACATATAAATTGCAAACATTTTCAACATGATATTATGGTTCAGTCTTTCCATGACGCCCATGTGTGCGTCCTAGTCTGGTGAAAGTTTGCTTACAGGAAATGCAGAAGAATGCTGGTGTTTATATGTTGTTCATGATCACAGGAACATTTCTTTATTTTCTCTGCTTGGTAGCAAAAACAACCAAGGCATGAACCAAACACTGGTTTTGAAGTTGTCGTACAAATGAACCTTGTGCAATAGCAGGACCGTGTTCATCTGCATGGTCAGCCAAATGTCCAGGTCACTAGTAGAACATATAAAGAGCCGCACACAGATACAGCCTGCTTTCTCTCAGCTGATGCATAAATGTGCTTTGAGTGGTCCACACCAGCCTTGGTCATTAAAACCCACAAAGCCAGCTGGGGAATTGTGCAGTGAGCTCGGTACATTTAAAAGAGAGCACTCGAGCCCTACATGATACACTGATAGCACTGATAGTGCTACTGGAGAACACGCTGTGGTTTCTTATTGTCAGCACATATTTCCACTACAGTCAATAAAACTCGATTTTTACTATAATAATAAAGTAAGTGTTATTTCCATATATTTGTGAATGGGTCCTGTTGCCTGTAGCCAGCATTGTTGGACCAATGAGCCAATAACATGAAACCCAACGCGGGCATGTCGCCGTGTCTTTGTGGAGCCAAAGGACGCACACAAGGGCCTCTCAGAAGGAAATGGCTGCCATTAACTCTGTCACCTGATAAACCAGCGATGATGCATCTTTGTTCGCTTCCTCGTTTCCCAGCGGTAAATATGAGAGCGGCTCTTTGACCTCCAGGAGGAGCTCGCCGTTTCATCAGGCCACATGTGTCAAACCTGATCGCAGGTCACGTTTGAAAACGCATCACTGTCACAGGTGACTAATGCAGCTGTCGCCTGAGCTCAGGTTCCCACCTTAACACAAACTGCTTAAATCCTGACACAAACCTCAAAGACAGACGAGCACATGAAACGACGGCGTGCCCGTGCTGAGTTCTTTCACTGCTGAAAATCACTTTTTACACTTTCAACATGACAAGAAAGGACGAGAAAGGTTAGGAAGCTCCTTTTTACACACACCATCAACATATCAGTTTAAACAAAAGCTACACTGACTCTGTTAGACACGCCACGCTTTGTTAGGCTGCAGCTAAAAACAGCTGATGGATTTGTTCTAATAATCAGGAACACAGAAGCACATTATACAGATCCAAATCTAAGTTATTGTGTAAGAAACTGACATTTGAATTGAAAGGGTTCATCTCTGCATTCTGCCTGATAGAACGTGTGCATGTTCAAACAGCCAAGAGGTTAGCATGTGAGGCTAAAGCTCAATAATAATAATAATAATGTGGTCGCAGCTCTGACTGGAACCACAGAAGCTCCGCCCACCTGCCGTTCAAACTAGCATACTAAATTCACTTGCAGAATTAAACATTTAAAACAGTTTTTGTGACATTTGTGAACGTTTTGTTTCCCAAACTGCAAAAAATGCAAAGCTGGAAAGTTATGAGACACAGTGCTGCTGTGAGGCTTAACAAGCACCGCCCACCCACAGCATCACATACTGTGTGCTGCGGTTGTTGTTAGGACAAAGACCCAAAGAAACAGACCAGTGGATGACTCAGCTTACTGTAATTAGTCAGAAAGTGTGAGGATAATAAGTGAACAGCAGCAGGTGAACAGTGCAGAGTCACAACATTTGCCTTGTTTTCATATTTGTAACAAACAGGTAAATGGCAGCAGCAGGTAAACAGGTGTATCTGCCTCTAAACAAATAGCTTAAAGAAATGTTTAGTGCCAGAATGAATTACTATAGGCATGAAATAAGAGAGAACAAGAACCAACTGGATGTCAGATAGAGAGGCTGACGCCATCTTAGTGCCCTGAGTTATAATTTTGGTCGGCATCAGTGGGAGCTGTGGAATACCTGCACGGACCGAGCAGGCTCATTACTAAAGGTTCATGCTCAGCAGGTCCCTGATGGTTTCCTCTGTTTCCAGTTGGACAATAGATGTTGTTCCATATCTGTCAGAGCTGAGCTCACTAAGGGCACCCACAGGCCATCGCATTTCATGTGTAGGACGTGGAAGCATGTTTGTTTTAAATAAACAGATTTATACGAGCAGCCGTGCTTTGGTTTGTTTTGGTCGGCAACATTCAAAAGAATATTTCTGGTTTGTGGTTTAAGACAAAGTCTTTGTCTGGATTCTGCTGAATTTGAACTCCACTAGTTCAAACCTTCAGTTTGGATAACTTCAGACTGTGCTCACTGACCAGAACAGCTCCAGCTACTTCACTGTTACAACAAACGTTGGTGTGTGCAACAGCTTCTGTACAGAACGACCAATGCAAAGGCCACGAGCCAAAGCAGGTGAGTAGATAAATGAGACACAGGCATGCAGGAGTAAACCTGCACCAGGGCCCTTAACCATCGGGGTTCACTGCTGGTCAGTCATATGTCCTCTTATGTTGCCAGGTTGGATTGTTGCCACATGAAAATATAAAAAATGAACTCTTATTTTTATTTCAAGAAATAAAAGTGACCATCTTACATTTACTGTAAAGCCTCCGATGAAAGCCAGTTACACAGCTACTGTACGTTTACCATGTAACACAGATTTGTATCTGTTTCTGTTGAACTTGGTGTGAGACATCACAACGATCATCTTGAAGGACACACATTGTGATGCTGTTGAACTGCACATTATGGGACTTGATAATATTTCAACCTCCTGGTTTGCACTTTGTCATTGAGAGGATTCCACCGTCCACTGAGATGCTGGATCACAAACTCTGAGAGTGAATGCTCAAGGCCTTTAAAAAAATGCTTGTTTTTATCCAACCATGAGAACAACGACGGTCAGTTTACTGTAGAAACGAAGGACAGCAGAAGTCCTTTATCCTGCGATCAAAACAATTAATTTTGCTTTTACAAAACTCGGATAGGTGGTCGACAGCCAATCGAGATTTTTAGAACTATCACTGGACGCAGTAATGCAGGTAAAAACAAACGGCGTCAAATCACGGCGTAAAAGTCTCTTTCTGGAGTGAAAGCTTTTGCGGGGTGTAAGAGGGGGCTTGTACGTAGGAGTCGACCAATACCAGCAGCCGTCTGAGCAGCACATCTGTGGCCAGTCAGCACTTCTGGTTCCCCAACACACATCAGCAAAACACGACCCGAGACTGAGACTCGTAAAAATCCCACATGAAAGCGCCAACTAAGGACGAGCTCGGCCACTCCGCAGCGCATCTGCCTCGAACCAAAGGAAACGAACCTGTTCGCATGACCTTCATCGTGCGGTCCGTTCAAAGCAAACCTCAGCCAGCAGACATCAACAACTTGTTTATGTGCTCGAAAGCAAAAAGTGAAGTGAGGAGAGCCGACACGAGCACAGCGGTGCCGCACAATAATCACGACGCCGCTCCGGCAACAACAGGAAGGCTCAGCTACGAGGCGCGCGTAAAACTCCGCCGGTCGGAGCAGCCCCTGATTCAGGCGCGCCGCCAGCTGTCCGCCCGCAGAGCAGAGGCGCAGACAGGTGAGCGCACTGAGGTGAAACACTTACAGTGAGTGGCGGCGGATGCTCCGCTAAAGACGCTCAGCGTGTAAAGGGTAACCATCGGCAGCAGCAAAACCATTTTCTCAGCTGTAGTGCGCTATTATCCGTGAGTCCGCAGAGAGCAACGCAGGACGGCGGCTCCTCCTCGGTCCTCCGGCTTGGAGGGATAGCAGAGGTCTGATGTGAAGGAGCAAACCGCTCCCACGATGGCACTCCCTCACTGCGAGGTACAGCCCACCCCGCTCCCCTCTCTGCCTCTCTCTCTCTCTTTGTCGGGTTCACATTTTATTGGCAGAGCGGAGCACTGCGATGCCCGAGCACTGCTATAAAACACAGAACAATAGCAAAGATCCGCAGAGAAAAGCCGCAATCGCTGCTGTATTTCGCTCCGTGTGTTCAGACATCATAAAATAACACACTTTGCAGGCTGCTGATGACTTCATTCCACCGCACAGCAGAAGCTGCTGTGGACGTTTCCAGAAAACACGGGGTTCAAGCCTCAAGTCCAGCGCACTTCAGCACCGATGAAAAACGTTTGGACACGGCTGTGTGGGAAATATGAACAGTCACTGTCACAGGAGCATACATGTTACTTTGTTTCATCGCAACAAAATATTTGGTTTTACTTAATACCTCATTTATTTTATTTGACTTAAGATCATATTTGTTTTGTCAAGTTGAATTTGATTTGACTGAGTCCATACCAGGATATTATTTAGACCGTTTTGTTACAGATTCTCCTGTCGTCCATCTTTAAAGCGCTAGACAAACGTTCACATAACTTATTAGGAAGAATATGGTTTATGTATTTATTTTTTTTAGCACTGTAGCTCTTTCACAGTTGATCTTTGGTCGCTTGCTGTTGTTTCATTCGTTTTAGTCCAGTCTTTGTACACAGCCATTTCTTAAAGGAGTGTTTTTGTCATACTGACCTATGAGTCCATCTTAAAAAGATCCCTCAACTCCAGAGATGAACCAGTTTGTGTCTACATGTCAGTGACACTGTCACTAACAGATTTTGATCCAGCATGTAAAAACACAGGAGGGCGTTCGATTCAGCATAGCATCTCAAACACGCTGCCAGTGCAGTAAAAGCAAAGCTCATAGAAGATCACATTATGGACTTTTGCACTTTTAGTTCTACCTGCTCAGCTACAGGCAGCTGTGACAATCAGCCAGCAACCTCCAGACAGCAGAACAATCAAGTCAGGAAATACGTTCCTGTAGCAGCTGGTGATTATGTCACATCCAACATGGTGGAGAGCTCTTGATCCATGTGCACATGATATGATGTGGAAAACCTCTGTGGTGATAATAATGATAATGCAGAAACACATGTAGTTATATTTATGTTTGGAAATCTGAGGTTTTCACCTGTCAAGTATTAGTTAATGTTAGCCTACAAGCTAAACTGATACCCAGCGTAGCAGCGATCCTGGGAAACATGGCTGCCTTCTTCGTCAGTGATGTCAGTGAGGTTTGTTTGTCATTCTGTTCTTTGGAGTCGTGTTTTTGCTGCGAGCAACTTATTTGTTATTAACTGACTGTGTTCCTGAGCAGGTTTGCTTTTTGTTCATGCTGGGAGTGGAAGACGAGCAGGCACATTAAACTACATAGAACACTGTTAATAGACTGTGTGAATGCATTCATGCACCCAGCATGTATGTGCAGTCGAATGCAGGAAGCTGTGTGGAATACACAATGACTGAACTCTCATTGTGAAGCTAGCTATTAGAATTGTGGTGCCGTGATATATGTAGTGCATTTTTAATGACATTATATTTCATTAAAAAGTTACGATATTCCAGTCAGGAGAATAATTTTCTATTATATTCTGCTATATTTATTCCCGATGTCTTTACTAATGGTGTTTTTTAAAGTCCTGCACGGTTGGCGTGCAGCATTCATACGTGTACACTGACAATAAATTCTATTCTGTAGTCTACTCTGTTGTGGAGTACAGATGTAGCCTCTGGACATGTAAAACAGCATACGGTATAGTTGCTACTACTAACAGCACTATTACACCTTTATAAACTGTGATGATAACAGCAGATCAGGTCACGTGCACAGGATTAACCTCTGTGAGGTAAAGCGTAACACTTACATGTGATGGTAGAGATTTGGAGGCCACGCTCATTAAAAGTTCATTTGTTGCTATGGTTGCTTCTCCCCCCTCTCTGAGAGTGTGTCATACTGTGGCGGTCTGACTTTTACTTTGTTAAAGACCTTGATTCTTCATGCAGGCTGCAGTTTGCATCGTGCTGCTGGCAGCACTGACTCAGTCTGCTTTCTCAAAGTTGCCAGGTTTTTCTGTGACAACTTGTCTCAATGGCCAATTTGTGGTCACTCAGCCTTTTTGGAATAATGTCCCTGATTGTTCGTGCTGCCCAGTTAATCTGCCACTCTATATTGGCTGTTCTGTGCTAACCCAGAGCTGGAGTTTGGGCTCCGTGCTCAGTGCGCGCACTGTCTTTGGCTTTGATTTGCTGGTCAGAGGCTGAAAGGCTGGTTTAGGAGAATTCTCTCTGTTTTCTTCTCCTCGTACCGCCGAGCTCTTGTGTTTTTCACTTTATTTATTTGGTGATGAATGTCATATAAAACAACGTATGAACCTTGGCTAAATTTCAGTGCCTTTTTCTTAAATAGGCTGTGATGAAACATGCATAAAACAAAGCGTAGGATGGGAATCAGAGCTTTCAGCTATCAGGCTACTCTCCTGTGGAATCAGCTTCCAATTTGGGTTGTGGAGAACGGCATCCTCTCTGCTTTATTTATTTATGTATTCTTTCCATTCGTTATTTTGTCTCTTTGACAGCATAAAAGATGAACAGGAATGGGACCGAGACATAAAACACACATAGTTCTCAAACATTTAAGTCGAGGTCTTTATATAGTGTCCATTTCCACCAGTTCCGTTCGAAGGCATCCAGTTTGATCATAGAACCTTCAGTTTATCTCCTCCATTATTTCACTTTCAGCGACTCCTTTTCAGCCAGTTCCTGTGATAACTCTTTACAGCCACAGTCATTATTTTAAACATGTAGATGTTCTCTTTTTTAATCGTACCTTCTGGGATCAGACCAAGGTGTAAGACCTGTGGATCCCTGGGAAGTTCACACTGACAAAGTCCGTCTATCAGCTCGGCAACATCTGACCAGCATGGTTGTAGTTTATCACATGACCCACAGACGTGTAGGTTGATTGGCCTTAATGTGACCACATTCTCTCCAACATTGTTGTTTTGCTTTAACTTGAGTTTATTATCGAGGCTGAGAGCTGAAGCCGGTCGATGTGACTCACAGTAATCTTCCGGAATCACAGAGAGGACATCTTCACTCCACGAGGGAACAGTAAAGACCAGATTTCCTGTTCATAGACTTTATGCCGCTCGTCTGGGAGGCCGTCACTCCCGGGGCTTCTGTTTGTCTTCAGTTTGCTAGCAGCGTTGTCCAGTTCATTCTTGCTTGTTGCAGATGTTAAAGCTTGGCTCAGGTTTGTGTCTACTGTTGGAAGGTCTAATTTCAGCAAATAGCTTTGGATTATTGTCACATATGAATGAGTTGGAGTGGACAGCATCTCATAGCAACTTTTAAAGATAGTTTGAATCGTCTCTGAGTCCAGTGTTAATTTATTAGCAGATGAGTCTCTAATTTTATACATTGAGTGTTTAATTCTTTGTGCTCTAAGAATTTTTATTGCCTTTGATCCTGATTCATAAAACGTTTGTTTCGTGAATCCCATTTTCTGTTCCAGTTCTTCACGGCTTTCTGTGCTGATTTGTTTCTTATAGTCCCTCACTATGGTCTGTTTGGTGTTGCCTTTCTAGTTCCTTTAACTGGAATGAGGCTACGGCTCATTACAGCCTTAACTGTATCCCAGACTATTGCAGCTGCCACCTCATCATCTTTGTTTAAATGAACACACTCTTGAATTTCTCTCTTTATTTCTTGAACTATTGTTGTTTTGTTCAAAAAATGTTCAGTCTCCGTTGGGTCTCTTGTTTTAAGTCTTCCAGGTGAATAGTGCTATGATGTGATAGGTCAGCTGCCCCAGGTCCCATACAGGTCTATCTGTATGTTCATCAGGAAATAGTCACCTTGTGAGTTGCATAGTGATGTGTAAATTCCTTCCCCCTGTATAGAATCCGTCCACACCTCAAATAAATGTTCCTTTATGAAGTTTTCCATGTTTTAGAGACGTGGTGCCTGTGCTGTCTAATGTAGTTTAATGAAATATTCCAGTCTCCTGCACAGACCAACATATCCTCCCTCAAGGAGATTATCTGATCAAAAACAAGCCTGACACATTTGAGGTCTCTCTCATCGAATAGGGTGACCACAGCGCATTGATTCTGCCTTTAACAATGACATATCTACCATCTTTATCGACTTCCCCTTTCATCACTTCAAAAAGGACGTTAGATATTAGTGTAGTGACCCCTCCCTCTGCTACACGGACTGTAGACAGAGTTAATAAAGCCTGGCTTTTCACCTTCTCATCTTCGTTTTTTGACAGGTTGACCTGTTTCAGTTCTACAGTGACTTTCAAGCCCATTAACATTGCAAGACACTACATGAACCTTATGTGACATGATCATGAAAGTACCAGTCACCCCTAGAAAAACAAAGAGTCCAGAACTGTAATAGAACATCTAACATGGAAGGAGAACAAATAATACCACGAATTCCAGCGCTGGGGCAGAGAACGTGACCCTGCTGGGTCGTGGGGAAAGCCTGTCGTAGAGACAGGGCCCGGAGGAGGCTAGTGATGAAGCAAGCACCATCCTATGTGTCCAGCATTCTGCTCCCATAGTCATTCTGAGAGGCTCCTTTGGAAACTCTGGAGTTTTTCCTTGGCTCTCCCTGCAGCTGTAGCTCATCCTTCCTTCTGGCTCTTTTCCTGCCAGTCTAGCAGCTCCTTCAGTCGGCCGAGTCATCCTCCTCCCTCAGAGCGGGTACCACCACACTGAAGCCAGGTGTCTTTAGTTCCAGCTTCATGTGCCCTGCTGTAGGTTCTGTTGTTCCAGTGGATTCTCATATTAGCGTATGGAGTCTGTCTTTTTCTTTTATGGCTCTCTTTATCCCACTGTATTCTCTGCGTTTTGGAATAATCTCTGCTGCATAATCGTGGTCGAAGAACAGCGTTCAGTTTCCAAGCTGTATTTTCCCCTTTTTCCAAGCCTCCCTAACCACCACTTCATTAGTTGCAAACTCCTGAAAGTTGACAATATGGGGGCGCGGCAGGGCCTCGGGTCTTGGTTTAGGGGCAAGGGAGCAGTGGCCCGCTGAATCTTTAGATCGACATCTGCAGTTATTGGTAATTCAAAGCTCCAACACAAAGCGTACTGCAGAACTTCTCTCTTCGCCTTCAGGCAGTCCGAAGATGAGGATGTTATTTCTCCTAGACCTGGACTCCACGTCCATGAGTTTCTGCTGCATCTTCTTCTCCTGTATGGCTGCTGTCAGAGCTTCAGAAACCTCAACTGCCCATCCCTCCACCCACGCCAAGCGAACCTCCAT